GTGTGCATGTTCTGATCTAATCCGATTTGTAAGGTAGAATTGAGGTCATGATAATGGCGGGGAAGGAAGCACGAAAGAACTAGAGGAAAGTTGTGTGCTTCATCAGTGCTGTACTGTGCCCTGACTGGCTCATCTCTTCCCTGGGACCCCTCTGTGAAGGGATGTCCAATTGTCTACAGCTGGGCATTGGGTCTGCACTCCCCAATTCACATTGGGTATGGTTTTGTTCTGGGCCTTTGATGCCTGTGATCCCATCGACACCTCATGATCACACAGGCTGGTGTGCTTCTTCCATGTGGGGTTTGTTGCTTTTGAGTTAGATGGCCACTTGTTTATCAGCTTGCTTGATTTTCACTGGATTTTTAAAGCAGTTTGGAAGTAGCAAACCTCACTGTTTTTTTCTGTATCATGCTTGTAGAAATAAACTTAAGAGTTTCTCTGTCTTTGGCTGAAACAGTGACAGGCAATCCCAGACCCTGTTCCCAGCATCACTTGGAATTCATTTGCTTGTAGACCACCTTTCTATGACTTCTGTTTTCCCTTGAGAGAGAGAGAGAGAGATGATCTTCTTATAACTCAAAAGTGGTTAGGTTTAAGATTCACCCTACTCTGGTACAATCTCATCTGACTAGCTAATTACATTCCATTCAACCGCATTTTGGAAAGTGGTGTCATTATTTGGCATTACCAGTTAATTCCAAGTTGTTGCCTAATCAATTCTGACTCATATTGACCCCATGTATTCATAGTAGATCTCTAGGCCTTTCTTCAGAACCACCTCTAGGTGACTTTGACCAACAACCAACATTTAGGTCAGTAGTCCATTACTTAACCAGCTACTATGTGATAATAGAGGTTTCTCTGAGATTACACACACACACACACACACACACACACATACACGAAAATAAGTCAAAAAGTATTACTACTAGGTTTCTAGTTCATACGTGCACAGGTTTATCCCAAACAAAATATGTTTAAACGTGAACTGTGTCAATAAATGGCTGCAGACAAGTTCCCTCCACAATA